CGCTACCGGAGGACCTCACTGGAGCGGCGCCGGGGAAGCGGCCAAGATCCGTCACACGTGGGCTCGGCTTAGCTCAGCGCCGTGCGTCCCGCCCCCCCGCCACCATCCTCTCCTCCTCCATCCCGCGCGCCGCGCCGCCCCCCCGCCCCCGCGCCACGGGGCGGGGCCGCCGCCGTCGCGTGGCCCCGCGTGACGTCACCGCCGCGAGCGCCCTCCCTCGCTCCGCGCGCGCGCTCCGACGCCGCGGCTCTTCCCCCCCTCCCCCCCCCCGCCGCGTGCCCGGCGGCGCCGCTCAGCCTCTTCCGCCCGGGGGCGCCGCTCCGCGGCTCTGGCCGGGCTCGGGGAGAGCAACTCGCGCTGCGCAGCGCGGGCGGCGGGAGCGGGCGGGAAGGCGGCGCTCCGCCGGCGACGGCGCGCGAGCGAGCGGCTGGGGCTCCGCATCCCGGCGCCCGCGGATGTCAGCACCCGACGTCGCGGTGCCCCCGCTTGTCTAAAGCCGACATCCCGGTGCCGCCACGTGTCAACGCTCGACGTCCCGGTGCTCCCCGTCCCGGTGCCCACTCGCGCTAGCGCTCCGCACCCCGCGCCCCAAATCCTGACCTCCCCCGCGGTCCGCAGCCCGCAGGTGACGTGACGCCCGCAGATGATGTCCGTGACGCCCGCCCCCATCCTCTCCCCGTTCCCAGCCCCGCTCCCACGCCCTGCTCTGCTCTCCTCTTGGCCGCCCGTGCTAAGGATCCGTTCCCAGCGGACTTTCAGGAGCTAACGACCTGCAAAGTTAACTTCTGTAGCTGCTGCTCAGCGCTAATGTTGTCCCCAGCCGCACCATTAAAAGTTGGAGTGTTCGTTCCATTAACAAGGAAAGTTACCAGTACCGGTACCAACGCAGACTCTGGGCCGTGGCACTGCACGCAGCTGGCTCCGGGATGCCCACCTGCCCACACAGCACCTGCCCCTCGTTAGCAGGTTTTAGGCTTGCTGATCTCTTGACACACAGCAGTTTGAGAACAGAGATGCAGAGGAAGCATTTGTCTGGCCAAGCAATGGCTGACTCCTGCCCGCAACACATGGCTTATGGGAGCCTAAGTGATGTCAGAAATTCCCAACAAGTTTCTTCTCCAAAAGAGCGCTGGGGTGCCCACACAGCTGCCCACAGAGTGGGGCTCAGCGCCCCTCCAGGTGCTCCGCTGTGCGGGGATGTGGCACTGAGGGATGCGGTCAGTGGGCACAGTGGGGGGGCTTGGCGTTGGGCTTAGTGATCGTGGACGTCTTTTCCAAGCTTAATGATTCTGTGGCTCTGAGGAATACAGATGTTGGGCTGCCAAACCACAGAGGGGCTGAGAGGTGCTGAGCCAGGTAAGGACACCTCACTGCGCTGGGAGCAGGTTCGCCTCTCTGCCGCGGAGGAATCTGCATTTATGTTCTGCGTGCGCTATAAATTCAGTGTCATAATAAAAAGGATCTAAATCTTTACTGAATAATTCATTTTCATGCATAGAGAAGAAATAATGACTTATATTATATTCCATCTATCATTTAATAAGTTCTTGAGATTGATCGGCCGGTGGGTTTGGAAGTCCCTGATCAGCAGCGGTGCTGCGGGCTGCCCTGCTGCCGCCCAGCCACGGCTCCACCTGACAAATGTTATTTAGACAGCTTTACGGAGGGGCAATGCACGGGGGAGCTGCCAGGAAATCAGAGATCGTTTAAAATGCAGAATATGTCATTGCAAACAATCGGTGCTGCCTCTCTGCCTCGGTGTTGGCAGCAATCTGCAGAACCGCCCCCCCTGACACACCGAGGGGCCACGGCTCCAGGACGGCCCTGGAGGCCCACGTGGGCTCCAAAGTGCTGCAGCTTGGGCGCAACACCCACAGGCACAAGTTGGACAGGGTGCAGACACTGGTTTTGGTTTTGCTTTTTAAGGCTGTCCGTCCTTTGACAACCAACTGCATCTCCTAGTGGTGAGCACTGCCTGCCTGCCTGGGCTGCCTGCCCTGCTACCAGCTGCCAACTGGGACGAGTGGGAACGGCCTCACGTTGCACCAGGGGAGGGTCAGGTTGGGTACTAGGAAACATTTCTTCCATGGAAGAGTGGTCAGCCATGGGAACAGGCTGCCTGGGGAGTGCTGGGCCACCATCCTCACAGGTGCTCATGAAACATTTGGATGTGGCACTGAGGGACACGATTTAGTGGGGGAATATTGGTGGCAGGTGGGCCATCGGACGGGATGACCTTGGAGGTCTTTTCCAACCTTGGTGGTTCCAGAATTCTATCACAGCAGCAAAAACCCTGCCCTTGGACGTGGTCTGCAGGTGACCGAGGAGGGCCGGCCCTGCCGCTTGCCAGGAACAAAAAAACAAAAGCCACTGAGTAGGGCTGTGTGTGAAGGGGGACAGGAAAGGAGGGCGGGCAGCTCCAGCAGCTCACACCTGCTGCAGATGTGGCTCCACACGTCAGGGGGAGACTGAAGTTTTTCTCAGTGGCAGTTCCAGATCTGCATCAAGTTATTCCAGCATCTTGCTAACGAAGACATTACACTGACCTTATTAAAATCATTGGGATTTTCATCTTAATTGCAAGAGCATAATTTTTTCAACTTGTTTCAAAAGAAGAATAGAAAACAAATATTATCAGGCTCATCTTTTAGATGATAAGGAAGGGGGAAAGAGAGCTCTGCAAGGAAGGATTTCAAAGCCTGCTTTGTTTTCATCAGCTTTGAAATCAACAGACAGCCCTGAGAATTCTGTTTTTCTGAACCACGGTGTTTAATTCTATTTACTACTTCCAGGCAATTTTGTATACAGGCACCAGGAAAACCAACCGGACCTTTAAAGAAATGCTTTAAAGAAATGCTCCTGCTCTTTTCAGATGTGTCATTTCTCCTGCGGGTAGGAGGGTGGGATATGGATCAATTAATGACAAAAACAACACATGGGGGCAAACTGGGAAGAGGAGACGGTGTTTGCTGTGTCCCTGCTGGGCGCTCCGTAGCTCAGGTGAACATCTCAAGACTCCTAAGGAGGAGTTTTGTGCTGACTTCTTCAAGGACCATCCCCGAACTGCGCCCCCTGAGAGCCCTGCGCAGTGCCACTGCCTCTGCATCCTTGGAGATGCACTTCTTGGGCCACATCCGTGCCAGCAATCCAGCTGCCTTCCCTCTTCTGAAACGAGGCTCTCTACCTTATTCTTCTACTTGATTAACTGTTAGCAGAGGCCTTTAAGATCCCCTGATAAACTGTACCAGAAGTCCAAACTAATGTTATTAACTGTGAATCTTTTCCTATAAATAATTTCCAGAAGCAGATCAATGCTACAACTGAGTCAATGGTTTCACTGGATTCATTTCTTCCTGTTACTCCTGGATTTTTTTTTTCCTGTAGCCACTAATCAATTACGATGATAAAACTGCCCTGGAACACCCCCAAAATAAAGACAAACAGTGTGCATTATCAGAGACTGGCGATGTGCGTGGCATTGGAGATGCGTTACCTTCTCTGTTGCACATTTGTTTTCTCCTATAGACAGCTAAAAAAGGAGGCACAGTAAATGAATGGTCTGGATGTAACACAGCATTAATTCCCTGACCTTCTGCATTGAGTGACTAAGAATCTCAATCTCAATTATTCCTTTCATGATGGAATCTGAAATAGACACAGCGAGTCCTCACATTCTTGCTCAAAACAGGGAGAGGTGGAATGAGATGAGCCAGCCCGATCATTTGGCACTGAAATCACATTCATTATCAGCTCCATGTCATTCAAAAAAATTGACTGTAGGAGAAAGCAAGAGCATCCAAGGAGAATTACTGCAGAATGCACACAGACAGCGTCTGTATAGATACGAGCACACCTTTATGTACACAATGTGCGCTTTAAAATTCACAAATCTGAAGCTGAATTAGGGGAAGGGAAAACAAGTTGCTCCCTAGAGGGCATCGTCGCTGTACGTTTCCAACCAGCAGACCAAAGCTGTTGCAGAACATCATGGCAGGTCGGTGCCCCAGAGCCGCTCTGCAGACGGAGGGGACGTCTGTGGGTCTGTAGGTGCCCCATGGAGCAGCCGAGGCCGTGAGACCTGGGCACAGCACAATGCTGGCAGCACCCAGGGCAGGAGGAGCAGTGAGGGCAGTGACAACTCTGCAAGGTGCAGGTATGTCCCCGCCTCCCTTTGGCACAACGCGCTGCTCGCCTCTCTGCGGTGCGTGGGACGGCTGCCGCAGCCTGGGGACAGGGAATGAACGCAGCCCCCACCCGCACCGCAGATTCCAGCGGGGTGAATCAGGAAGAAATGTGCCTGCTCAGTAGCCATAACTGCATTAAAACACCATAATTGAATATGAACCGCATCGTGACGGAGTCACAGATCGCAGGAGCACAAAGAGCCGGGCGGATGGGGGCGGATGGTCCCGGTGCCCGCTCACTGCACCCTGCTCACAGAGCTGTGCCCCCAGAGCCCAGGGCTGTGTCCCACGGCCCTCCTCACAGCACATCTCCTGCAGAAGCCCTCACACGGCCCTGCTGGTCCTGCTCCTGCCGGCCTCTGTTACCCCCGGGATCTCCCCGTGACTGAGAACGCTCTTTCTCACCGTGCCCATTCTTTTTCTCTTCCCCCATTTCAGATCTTCCTCATCCTGAATCATTTGCTTCACTCAGATTTAAAACCCTGATGCTCCAGTTGCCCAGGTCCTACATTCTGGTCTGGCTCTGGGGCTGCCATCAGATTAACTCCCTCATTCCAAATCAGCTTAAGCAGAGGTTAATGCCGAGCTTGTGCTCACACCTTTGCTGAATCAGGGCTTTGCCGACTTCCTGCTTTATTTATTGGGCTTTCCAAGGCTGCGAAGCGGAGATGGCAAGGATCTACCTTGAA